ACACGTCACACAAACATGGCTTTGCATTTTAGGTCACTGAGATTTAACGTTTGGGAAACGTCTGCCAAAATAGACTCGGCATTTCAGTATGGCAGGCCAAATCCTTTTTTTGTCTGTTTGTTTTTTGTTGCATATGTTTTTCCATCATCATACCTGAGGAGTGGGACAGTAGGCTCCCATGCCACCTGTGTTTGGCCCCCGATCGCCATCTTGCAGACGTTTATGATCCTGTGCTGGAGGCATCGGCGACACCGAGGAGCCATCGGTGAAGCACAGACACTGCAAGTGCAATGCGTTTTGTTCTCTTTCAGGACATGAAATTTGATCATTAGACAATGACATGAGTTTTAGTTTAAAAATCAGGTGCAGCTGGAGGTTCATTGTCTCCCATTATCCCAAAATGGAATGTCTTGTTGGAGTAAAACAAGCGCAGGGCTCCGATGACAACAACCACATTCAGCGAAATGCTTGCACATTTTATGCCAATCTATTAAAATATTGCTTTACTGGATGTGAAACAGGTCCATGACACAAAAAAAAAAAAAAAAAAAAAAAACACTTGGGGACCGCTGTTGTGTTTGCTACTTTAGCTGTGCGAGAACTCACAGATACTTCCTCTCCCTCTAGAAGCTCCTCCACCACCACTGTGTCGCCTGCAGCCCCAAATGCCCGGTCCTGACAATTCAAGAGTGGAAAAACAAAATGAAAGATTACAATAATCCACTCAACATTGCTCATCGCACATCCAACGCAACTCACCTTCATGATGTCCATCACAGCCCGACAGGCCTCCTCTTGGTCCTGTGCCACAATAACTCCTTTGCCTGCCGCCAAGCCACTGGCCTTCACAACCAGCGCCGGAAAGTCTGCCCTGGGAGACGAAAAAAAGAGAGAGAGAGAGAGAAAGAGAGAGCGAGAGAGAGAGAAAGAGAAAAAAACTTTTTTTGGTACTCTTTAACTGTCCCGGCTTAACAATCAAGGCTTTTCTGTGCCCATCCCCCACAAAAAAAAAACCCAAACAAAAAAAACGTAGACTACTTCTGTTTGGTTTCCCTGTTGACATTTTTTCACGTCAACTGCGCTCCAAGAGTTAAAGGCAGAGGTCGAGGCAGTAAAAATTTACTTTTAGAAAATCAGGTGTACTGACGTGCGGATGTAGTTGCATGCCTCCTCAGCGTCGGTAAAAGAGCCGTAGCGTGCTGTGGGGATGCCATGGCGCTCCATGAAGGCCTTGGAGAAGCTCTTGCTGGCCTCCAACTGGGCGGCTTTCGCAGATGGGCCAAAACACCGCACTCCTGCCGCCATCAAGTCGTCCACGATACCTAGGTCGGAAAGCATGGCCGATGGTGAGGCTAAGGAGCACTAGCGGTAGACTTGAACAGAAACGCTCAACTTACCTGCTGCGAGCGGAACCTCAGGCCCAACCACCACCAGCCCCACGTGATGGTCCTTACAAAATTGAGCCAATATGGCGTGGTTATTCACTGACACCTCTGTAGATGAGAATGAGCATTTGATTACATCACCGTTTAGGCAATGCCCGCACAAATATATGGTTGAACATGTGCTTTTTTTTTTTTAAGCTTTGATTTTGAGGTAAAAAGGTTCAAAACTTTTGAACAACTCCAGTCAGATTTTACTTTGTGTAAAGCGTAGTTCAGTGACAAAAAAAAAGTGTTCTGTGAAAAAAGTCTTTTTTTTTTTTAGCTTGCTTCCTGTGGAAGACATCACAGTGTGCGCCGTTATTCCAGCTGATTTTTTTTGTTTGTTTTTGTTGATTTTATACATGTGCAATTCATCACCCAAGTGCTCACCAGTTCATGGATTTATTTTTTTTTTTTCACAATGTCTAAGGGTATGAATGAATCTTAATTAGATGGTTATGTGGGAACGGCGTGAAGAGGAACTGGTCATGGCTATTTTTCACCCCTCAAAAAACATTCACGCACGAATGACTACACGCATTTCTGTCAAGTTGTTTATCTCTGCAGGTGAGACACAAGTGCAGTGTCCAAGACGGTAACACAAAAACCGTCACTTTTCGATTATAACAGCCTTCTACCTCAGCTCAAAACCTGATTTATGGAGCTACGCTTAATTCAACTATTAGTTGTTTTTCCCACGTGCTAAACTGTTCCACTGGTCACCGGAGAGATGAGTTCAATAAACCAGCGAATCGGGCACTGCTTGAGGGTCATGGATGGAAACAAAATTGGACATTACACTAAATTGCAACACCACAACAAAATGACTTGAAAACTATCGGATATTTTGTATCTTTCCCCCTGCACTGGATATGTGAGTTGTATTGTCTTTTTATTTATCTTTAATATACTTTGTTTTTTACATGCCTGGTTAAAAAAAAAAGATTATTATTATGGAAAAGAGATAAGTGAAAAATTCCCATTCATTGAATGCAATTGGAAATAAAAATACTACCTGTACATTGGGATGTATAATATATTCTTCAAAGGAACTAAAGTTACATTTACCCGAGTTGCAAATTTTGCCGCAGTTGACCGTCCCAGCATTTCCTGGCGCCACCAGGACTTGCTGGATGTGCTGCGACTGGGCCAGCTTCCACGCCAGTGCATGCTCCCTCCCTCCTCCGCCAACCACCAGCACCCGTTCAGCCATGGCACCTGCGAGATGGGAGAATGACCTTTCACCACTCCGCGTCGTCAAATTACACAAACTGGTTGGAACAAAAGGTCAAGCGGCGAGGAAGCGCTGACCTTTTCAAACAACTCCAGTCTTATATTATCACACTTAGAGATGGGCCCAATCAGGCAGAACAAAAACACAAAGCAAAATGACAAGCACCTTCCCAGGCGTATAAGCTTATACGACTTTATTAAAGAAAACTGGAGTAAACATTTTGGATTTGTTTTCTTGACTTAGTATTAGTTTGTTGCATCCTGGTGTTGATAATTCATTAAGTAGCAAAGTGCTGACAGTCACAATGATTAGGACCCTTGTGACATTTGTGTGCCACCATGTGATCTCATCACTGGAAGGCTCCGATTAGACTGATGCAATTTGTCTTCCTTATCCGGAACACAACAATTTCAGGCTTTGTGTGTATCAGTGTGTACCGATCACACCCATCAACCGAAAAGTCAAAATTGTGGGGTCAGAGTTCATCCCAGGTTGACTACTCCAGACATTCGGATTTAAACACACACACACACACACACACACACACACACACACACACACACACACACACACACACAAGAGTGGTAGTAAATATGGATTACAAATATGGATTTTCTACTACTTACTTTGTAAAAATAGGCTTCTCAATGTTTTAACTGCCATATATGTCGACAAGACATAAATAGCAAGAGGTAAATGACTAAATTTCACCATGGTTGATCCTTTGATTAAGATCTTCGGGTCATGTAAGGGAGAGAAGCGACACGGAGGAATGTGAACCAGGGAGCATTCGTGTGAATGGCACAACACATTCAGAGAAGCAGGATATTGCCAACAATTACCTTATTTCAGAGAATTGTGAGAAGTTGCTGCCACTTCATATTGTCTTGACAAATTGTTTTGATAGCAAAAAAAACAAAAATTGTGCCGATGATAGTTAGCTCTTAGTTTAAAAAAAGAAGAAAAATAAAACATATTTTCAGATCTCTTGAATATCAATAATAGTATACATTCATTTTTCTATTTAAGCAGATTTCAGAGTCTATACTTTTACCGAAGTGCAGACGTTGAAGAAGTTTAGCTTTCATCAGTCTTGTTTTAACTGTATATCGACTACGTAGAGTGAGACATGTTGCCATGTGTACTGAACAAAAGAATTGAACATCAAAAAACCATCACACAGCAAAATAAGAAGTCACTTAATCTCTCTACTGTTAGTTTGCATTAAATGTTTCTATGCTTGCAAAAGAATATGTTAGAAGGCAACTTGTTACATTCCAGAATCATAGTAACACTAACCTGAGGATTTGTAATAAAGCTGGAATTAGCCAGATCCCAGTCGGGAGGCGGATACGTCTTCTCTGCTTTCAGCGGCCAGAAGACTTGAAGAAGAAGAAAAAAAGACCAGGCACGGCACGCACAATGAGACACACAAACATTAAATGGACGCAAACTCAAAACACGCGCACATACACATCTTCACACCACGTGGATCCCGTTTGTGACAAGGATGTACTTTGCCGTGCTAAATGCTAATACAAGTTGCATAAAGTTCTCTAGAGGCAACGAACGACTGTGCAAAAAGCTCCATGGTTGCTATCGATTGTTGCTTCATAAAACGTTTAGCATCTTACCTTCAAACTGCGTCTAAACTGGCGTTTAGGAAGAGTTCTCCAACTTCCTCGGGGTGTAACAAAGTAATGCATCACGGGACTTGTAGTTCATCACAGATTTTAGGCTGGATAGATAGATAGATAGATAGATAGATAGATAGATAGATAGATAGATAGATAGATAGATAGATAGATAGATAGATAGATAGATAGATAGATAATGCTTAGTTAATGGTATTGAAGGCGAGTTTTGTGTTCCGGAGACAAAGCAGAAGGTAATTGGTATTAGTGCATCTGTTATCTTGTACCATTGAAGTGACTTCTGAATCTGACTTTTCATTTTGTCAGTAAAAATAGTCAATATATTGTGACATTCACATTCACTACGTGTTACAAAAAACTAGTCTGATATACTGAAATGTTTTTTTGTAATTCAAATTAAAATATGGTGCGGCAAATATTTTTTAAGATTAAAAATGATTTTGTTCTCTTGTAACACATTACCATTTCAATCAAGGATGGAATAAAAATAGCCAATACGGAAAAATATGTTTTAACTGGAATTTAAGTACTGCGACATCCTGTAGCATTCTTATTTTAACACTTAAATATTCGATTGACATTCATTTTTCAAACAAAAATAGCCAATAACTGTATAATGTAACATTCGACTTTAAAAATGTTAAACGAAAAGTATATTTTTTTTTTTACAATAAAAAATGTCTTAAATGGCAAGTTCTCATTTTATTTTTTGAATACCTTAAAACGGTGTTTACAAAAATAATGCAATATCTTTTAACATTTTCCTCATAAGCTTCAGATTTCTTCTTTGTTATACCTGTGCTGGACTAAAGACACACGAGGACTACACCAGCAACATTTTAACACAGGACAACTTCATTCAATGAGTACAAATATCTCAAAAAGGAGGATAATGTGTCACACTAAAATGTATAATTCTTTATTTCCTTTTTATATTACATTTGCATCAAAAAGTTCTTGTTTTGTCATGTTGGTGTACAAAGAGAGAGAGATTTTTTTGGATGCAGCGGGAGCGTGGGTCGGGGGTGTCATCAGCATCGGGTTCAAACATTTAACAAGGGAAAGATTTAAGGGGATGTGCACTTTTTGTTACCCTGAAACATTTCGGGTCACATATTTCCACAGGTTGTGAAGAATGAAACAATAGTGAACTGCTCACTTTTACATTTTCTTTAACTGTACATAAATTTGAAAAAAAATCAACAGAAACATTTTTTTTCAAGCATCAGGTCTGAAATGAGGTGGAGATATTTGAATGGCATGCATTCAGAAACTTGAAATAGCTTAACTCGCTTTAAAAGTTTGAGGTTACTGTCTTTCATCCGCTGATGAAGACTTTGAGATAGGCTGACAAGAGGAAAGACAAACAGGCCTCCACAGACATAGGTTAAATATGATATACTGTTCTCCTTCAAAAGTACAGTATTGAACCATCAAGGGCAATTCCTTCCCGAAGACAAAAATTCTAAAGTCCAGCTTTTATTTCATGGTATTTACATGGAGCTGTGTTAAACAACTCAGGACAGAGCACCTTTTGTTTTGAAGCCAACAAGTTTTCAACTGAGTAAAAGAATTGGAATGGACATTATGAAGTGAAGTGAACCCTTTCATTCACCCTCCAGGCCTTTACTGTAGCCTCTCTCGGTTCTTGTTCATTTCTGGGGGGAGGAGGGGGTTCTGCCTTCAGCGCCCTGTCCAGGAGGTGAAATGCATTCTCTATTGGATTAATGTCCGATGATTGATTTAGCCAGTCAAAAACCCCGCCCGCCTCACCCTTATTAGGCCCTTTGTCATGTTGGAAAGGTGTTTTGGGTCATTGTCTTGTTGCATGATGAAGCTTCTCCAAATCAGTTTGGATGCCTTTTTCTCTAAATTGTCAGACAAAATGATTTGTAGACTTCAAAATTAATTCTGCTGCAACCCCCTTGAGGTACATAATCAATAAAGACTAGTGAGCACTTTCCAGAAGGAGCCATGCAAGCCTAAGCCATGACATGACCTCCACCATGCTTCACGCGAGCTTATGCGCTTTGGGTCATAAATAGATTTTTTCCCTCTCCATACTCTGGCCTTTCCATCAATTTGATAGAAGTTAATCTTGGTCTCTTTAGTACATGAAACTTAGTTCCAAAACGTCAGTGCCTCATCTTTGTACTTCTTTGCAAAATCCAATCTGGCCTTCCGATTCTTTTTGCTGATGAATGGCTTGCATTTGTGTATAGTTTTTGATACAGTAGTCCACCCTCTTCTCTCAGCTTCAAAACGGTTTGCTTTTCTCCCATAGAGAGCTCTCTCGTCTTCATAGTTGCTTAACAGGAAATGCAGTTCTCAATGGTGAAACCCAACGCCGTAAACAACAACCGTGTAATCTTCAAGCAATCAATCAAAATGGCAATACCTGAGCAATTAGAAACACCCAGCAGTCACATGTTCCAATACCTTTGCTCACTTGAAAAGTGGGTGGCTTTAAACAAAAGCTGCTGTCCATTTTTTTAATACATCTACATGTAAATGCCATCAACTAAAAGCTGCAATTTGGAACTTCTTTCTCATATTGCTCTTTCGATCTGAAACACAAATGTCTTCAGTATACATCACAAACGAAGGACTTGGCATTGCTGTTCCAATACTTTTGGAGGGGACTCTATGTCAAGCAATTAAATTCACATTTCTGTATGGTCATACTCAAAATGACTTTCTTATAGACCTTCATCCCACATCACGCTCAGGCCGATTCCCACTTGAAATAAATTCCACTAAGAGTCCCTGCACTCTGTAATATATTTTCTATATATGTTTAAAAAAAAAAGCCAAATAAAACTCAACTTCTACAACAAGCCCCTGCTGTTTTCTGTCTTTGTCCTCCCTGGCGGCCCCTCTCTTGTGGTGCCGTCTTTGATTCCCTGGAAGAAAAACGATGCGAAACAATCTGTTCCATTGCTTCGCAGAAAACAACAAAGATCAAAAGCGGCCCTGCAGCACGACGCCTCCCGTCGGCTCTGTCCGGGATACTGTGGAAAAGCCAGCAGGGTCACTCAATAGCGTCCCCTCTGGTTGTTTCTGGACATTGTGAGTGGTAGTGACACGGACGAGAGTGAGGACACTTCCCAGTAAAGGGAACGAGACAGAAAAAGCTGGTAGAGGATCACCATGGAAATGGACTGACACAGAATCACACCAATGGTGACCACCTGCACAAAAGACGAAGCAAAAACGGGTTGTTTTCATTTTTTCAACCATAAATGATCAGTGGGTGGTGGGGGGTAATAGAGTACAAATACAGTGCAATGTAATTGGGTAGATTTTTCAAGTACCTGGAGATCACTTGAGTATTTATTTTTATGACATTAAACTTTTAACCAGACTCAAGTTTAAAATCCTACTTTCAACCCTAACTCTGAAACCCTAACCCTACTTTGATACCCCAACCCTAGTTTAAAACCCTAGTTTGAAATATTAACCCATGTTAAAAACCCTACTTTGAAAACATAACCCTAGTTTAAAACAATATTCTGAAACCCTAAACACTATCTTAAAACCTTACTTTGAAATCCTAACCCTGTTAAAAACCATAACCCTAATTTGAAACCCAACACTGAAACCCTAACCTTAGTCTGAAATGCTACTGTAAAACGTAACCCTAATTTTCAATCCTACTTTGAAAACCTTAACCGAGTTTAAAGCCCTAATTTGTAATCTCAAACCTAGTTTGAAACTCAGATCTGAAACTCTAAACCGAGTTTAAAACCCTACTTTGAAACCCTTAACTTAGCTTCAAATCCTATTTTTTAACCCTAACCCTAGTTTAAAACCCTAATTTGAAACACTAACCCTAGTTTAACATCCTACTTTGAAATCGTAACCCTAGTTTTAAACCCTAGTTTAAACCCCTACTTTGTAACCCGAACTAACCCTATTTTAAAGCACTACTTTGAAACCCTTAACTTAGCTTCAAATCCTATTTTTTAACCCTAACCCTAGTTTAAAACCCTAATTTGAAACACTAACCCTAGTTTAACATCCTACTTTGAAATCGTAACCCTAGTTTTAAACCCTAGTTTAAACCCCTACTTTGTAACCCGAACTAACCCTATTTTAAAGCACTACTTTGAAACCCTTAACCTAGTTTAAACCCTAACACTAGTTTACCAAAATCCCAACATGTTCCCTGGGCCCGCCCCCTTATTTGAGAAGATAAGGTAATTTCTGTGCTGAGGATGCCCCCTGACTCATTGACACCCGCCCCCCGCCCCCCAATCCCCTGGTACAGAGTGTGAGTACTTTTGACACATCTGCTAATGAAGCGGAAAAGGCTTCCAAACCTTCTCCCTCTGGTGCTCATTGAAGATGACAGACGTGAGGACGAGGACAGGATGACAAAGGAACCACAGGAAGCATCCCTGCGGAGAAAACGCAAGCGTGAGGAGCTGCTGTGACAGTAGCAGTAGCAAGTCGCATGCCGCTGCAGGTAACCTTGGCAAAGCAGAGGTAGAAATCTCTTTTCAGTGTGCTCCTCTCGGTGGAGATGATCTGGTAGAGAACGGAGGCCAGCAGAAGGGCCAGTGTCACCCTCAGGGCGATGAGGAGAATGCCCGCCAGGTTCTGCTGGCTGTGATGTTGGCGCTCGGACGCAGAGTACTGCTCCCACAGCAGGAGCACACCCTGGAAGAGACACCATCAGCATTTCTGCATCGGGCCACCTGACAAAAGTGGGCGTACCTGCACGACGACTCCGCAGACGGCGACGGCCGTGGACGCCGGAGACTGTTCCCACTGCAGAGGTCGGGACTGAGGTTTACGGCCTCGACTCAGGCTCCAGCTCGCGCACAGGCTCAGTAACGTGTACAGTATTGACACTTGAGCTGCCATAGCCCAGACTGCACAGGGACAACAAGCCAAAGAAGTCACTTGGTGTTTTATTTCGGAAGTTTCCCACCAAAAAAGATGCGAGGACATACACTCAGCCAGGCTGCCCATCAGTGGAATGCCAATGCCGTCTCTGGAGTACCTGTAAGATGAAGTGTGTTTTATGCCAACGATGTTTCATGATGACTCCGCCAGTGCTAAATGCATTACATTCTGATAGCTTAATTCTGAAGTTTGCCGAACACCATGCAATGCACCCGAACCTAACTTAGACTGGACCATTGTGGGGATTTTTTGTTTGTTACAAATGCTATCTTCAACTACATGAGTTTACAACACTTGAAAAGGGAAGGATTTGACCAGACTGAGGATTTCACTGGGCTTGTGGATTTTATTGACCAGAAACAGGAAGGTGAAAAACCCGTAGCCTCTGTGATCGTTGCCTATTTCCCATGTGTTTTAGTCCAATGATTTGGTTTGCAATTTCACTGGATGCTACGAGCTGCTCTGCAAAGACACTGAACAAAGTTCTGAGCAAACAAACTGTTCTGGGGTGCTGGCATGGGCTCCCCATTAGGTTTTGTGTTCGCCTGTGCGCTACGCTGTGGAGGCGTGTGCACTCGCTGTTAAGCGCATGCAGTGTTGAGGCTGGTGTCACCAGCACATGAGGCAAACCTCCCCATAGATCGCCGCAACAGTGCCAGAAATATAGCAGCGAAATATGTCAACCTCCTCGAGATGCATGTCATTAGTTAGAGATTACTAGACCTATGATTATATTTAAAAAATGTACATTAATGCGAACATATTATTGAAATCAACTGTGGGTTTTTAAATTAAGGAACATTGGAAAATCAAAAATTGCTACAACACCATCCCTTTAAGTATTGTTGTAAAACACAATATATAGTTCCCTCCATAATTATTCGCACCCCTGGTTAAGATGTGTTAAAAGTTGTCAATAAAAAAATTAAAAATATGTATAATATATAAATTTATTGTAGAAACATACTCTTTTTGTGAAAATTTGTATGGCTAGGCAGACGGCTGGATCTTGCTAGCTAAAATCCTGGAAACATATACTGTGGTCCCTCGCTATTTTGCAGTTCGGTTATTGCAGATTCACTCTATTGCGGATTTTTCATTGTGACACTAACTTCATTGCAGTTTGACGTCACTATTTTAGCATGTTCTCTTGCTATTTTTCTTCCTTCTTAGTTGGATTTTTTTGTCTTTTTTTTTTAAGGGGAAATTTGTTTTACAAAAACCAAGACGATGAAAATTAGACAGCTCGTTGCCTATAATCAGCAGTTTGTAATCCTTCTACATTTTGGATTTTAAAAATTACACTTAATAAATGTAACAAGTGGCGGCACGGTGGTCCAGTGGTTAGCGCGTCGACCTCAGTGCAGAGGTAACGGGTTCAATTCCAGCTCCGGCCTCCCTGTGTGGAGTTTGGATGTTCTCCCCGGGCCTGCGTGGGTTTTCTCCGGGTACTCCGGTTTCCTCCCACATTCCAAAAACATGCATGGCAGGCTGATTGAAGACTCAAAATTGTCCCTAGGTGTGAGTGTGAGCGCGGATGGTTGTTCGTCCCTGTGTGCCCTGCAACTGGCTGGCAACCGTTTCAGGGTGTCCCCTGCCTACTGCCCGAAGACGGCTGGGATAGACTCCAGCACCCACCACGACCCTTGTGAGAATAAGCGGATCGGAAAATGAATGAATGAAATGTAACAAGTGTTTGGAGGAGTTGGAACCGTGTGTATGTGTGCAGCGGTGGAGTGTAATGGCTTAACCCTTTCATGCACCCTCTAACCTGATAACATGATAAACTGGCCATTATAGTAACCACTGTCCCTGAAAGGATTAATAAAGGCGTAAATGTCCCCCCCAATAAAATAAATAAAAATAAATAAGAGGCCAGTGTATACTTTGCAGAAATTCACTTATTGATGGGGCCTAGAACATATCACCCATGAAAAGTGAGGAAACACTGTCATGCTCTCCATAATTAATGGCACCCCTGGTTAAGACGTGTTAAAAGCCTTAAAATGAATTCAATTTATCTTGCAGGAGCTTACGTCCATCCTGAAAATAATAGAAATGGTTCACCAGACACAGAATCAAGCTCCTCCCACCCCAGTCCCTAGACTGCCCCAGGACACACTATACTTCTTTACTATAGAGGGCTCTGTCCTTTTAGCAATTACCCACAATGCACTACCGGCGGCCATATTGGAGGGCTGTTATAAACAACCATACACGAAGTCTATTCGTGTCTGGCCGTCGGTAGTGCATTGTGGGTAATTGCTAAAAGGACGGAGCCCTCTATAGACATTTGGGACAGTAAATGCTCATCTTACAAGATGTAATGTCATGGCATCTTTCTAAGGCTCTAATAGCCATAGGCCAGATGAATATGGCTACTTTGGTTTCGGCTAGTTGATGTCTTCTCTTACCTGGCCATGTGAATGTAGTTGCAAAGGGCAGAGCATCCCTGCAAGGCCAGACTTGTGGTCAGCACCTTCAGGACTGTGTGCATGGGACCACCTTTCCTCAGAGCCTGATAGAGTGGCTTAATGTAGATACAGGAAGCTACAAAGTACGCCACAAGCAGGAGGAAGTAAAATGTGTGGAGACCTAGCGGAGAAGAAAAGAAAATAATAATATACATCATGTGAAAGCATTCAGCATTCAACTACGCAGTTTTTCTCGCAAAATCCATATCAGCGGTGGTTCTGAACTTCACTGAACAAAGGGATGTCTGACCTGCCACCTCAGCACTAAAATGCTCCAGGGGGTTTCCTGCAGAATCAGCATTGAGCAGCAGGACAGTAAACCTGAGGTCATCATGAGAAGGGATCACTGTATCCTCCTGGAGTTAAGAGAACATAAGCAGACTCAAACTTTCACGCTGTGTTATTAGTACAACTGGTCACCCCAGTGATTCTCAACCACTGTCCCGCGGCACATTCGTTTGTCATGGGAGATATTCACGTGCCAAGGGAAATGATTCAACATTTACCTGGCATGTGTATCGATCTGCATAGAGAGCGTTCCACACTGTAGGGGATGAATATTTAGGAATCGTCTGGTTGTGTTCTTCTTGACTGAGAGAAACTGCAGCAATAGGAGGAAAAACACACTATGTCGAAGTGTGCGACTGAGTGTATATGTAGTTTGACTAATCGTGCCTTGGGGGACAGTCTAAAACAACTCATGTCCATGTAAAAATTTAATTTCACTCAACATCAGTAAAATGATGTACGTGGACATCTATATTTATGCCCACTTCAACCTCTTAAAATATCAGAACGACTGCCCCTGTCTCTATAGTTAATGTATATGGGGTGGGGGAGGGGGGCCTAATAGCCATAAAATCTGTCATATTCTGGCGATTATTTTGATATTTTCAGAGGTTGAAGTGGGCATGACTAGCGATGTGCATGCGAATGTTGATAACGTTGGGTCGGTAGCACTGGTAGCAAATTTCTTACTGATGAAATGGGCTCTGCTGAGCCTTTCAGAACAGCTGAGGTTGTCCCAATCCTCGTCCACATTTGGATACAGCAGCAGCCGGGATTCCTTTTCTGCAGCTAGTGAAGGGTTGTCCACTTGACAGACCAACAAACCATCAGCACCTACAGACAGGTAGACAGTCAAACAACAAGGGAAACCTTTCAATGTGTCCTCCTTTCCAACAGTTTATCGTTTGAAATTTCAAAGGCTGCCAATATTAAATTTCCTTTTAGAAAGACGTTGAGGGGCGAAGGGGTGAACATTGAAATCCTGACATCATCGGTATAAATGATAACAACTGAATTACCTTGATACATGAATTTTGTGATGAATTGGCCTTGATGCTGTCTCGCTACTTCGGTCTGAAAAAGTCCCGTTACAGTTTTCCCAAAAGCCTGCATAGAGAATAGTACTGCGGCTGTAAACGCGGTTAATAATCTCGACATTTTACAGACACTAATCTTTACGATTTAAACCAATCAAGGTTAGCTCATCACTTCATTGAGCCACGAAACCAGTGGACATCCCTTCAGCATCAAGTTAATTGCAGGGAGACAAACAAAGCGGAAGTCATTCAATATTGTCCTTAAAAATCCTTGAAACTATTCCTTTTAGGATTTGGATGAATGTGAAAAGCGATAAAATGGTAAAAGAAAAGAAACCTAATCAAAACGTGTATACTTGAGTCCTTGGTAGTAATATTCTACATTACCTGTTACCAATGTATAGACATTTATTTTGACATCAGTTTACGGAAGTTGTATTTATTTAGTGAGCTTTGTGCTATTACTTTGTCCAATCGCTACTGTTAATAAACTATCAGATTTAGAATCCACCCAATCAGAAAAACGTTCCTCCAAAATGACAAATGTTCAGCCAATCACATAGATGAATGTGGCCGAATTTGGCCACATATGCTCCACCCATTTTCAACGTGTCAACACTACCGTAAACGATCGCCTACTGTCGCGCTGACAAGTGTGAAAATGTCGTGTCTTAAACGTCCAAGATTACGAGTTTTTAAGTGAAACCCAATGACAGTCTGTGAATGGACCGATGGACTCCATCAGAACTGTTTTGGTGACTGGGGGGTGTGGTTTTATGTGAGTTCACGCCACCAAAATTATGCTGTTGCAAAAAATATATTATTTTAAAAATGTTTTGGGGTATTTTCGTTTACATTGCCGTAAATGATTTGCTCCTCTGTCCAAATAGCGGCTCTCACCTTGTGCGTTACCTGGTTCAAAGCTATCCCGAATGGAAAATTTATAACTTGGATAATGTAAGCTTTAATTATGAATTTAAATTATTGTAAATATAGTCAATATACATATTAAAATTGTGGTTGAAACTGCTTCCAACGCTATGAAAAAGTGATTTTTTTTTAATTTCAGTTAGATTACTGCTGCAGCCCAAGGTGTCTGGAGAGCATTAAAAACAGCGCAAACTACACATTTATCAAGGTAATAAGTTGCCTTTTTCTTTTATGGTAGGATACCTGATAACTTTGCCATATGATTCCCTCCTCAGTATGTACAAAGCTGTTGAAATTCTATTGTACAGCTTTACCTATTTGTGTAACAGGGGGATATAAGTAACTCCCAGCTGGTGAACCAGATCTTCGACACAGAAAATGTTGACGTTATCTTCCACTTGGCTGCCAAAACCCACGTTGGTGAGCAGCAAATCAGATGTTGGCAGCCAAAACACTATCAACTACAATTGTCTTGTTGGGTTTTTCCTCAGATTCATCCTTCCAAACCCCAGCCATTTTCCAGCATGTTAACACCCACGGTACGCGAGTTTTGCTATCGGCTGCCAGTCAGGCCCGCCACAAGCTTCAGCGCTTCATCTACGTCAGCACCGATGAAGTGTATGGATCAAGTGTAGATGAGGTTTGGAGCATTTGTTTATTCATCTAGTTGTTATGTTTACCAGGTATTTTGCTGGGTCTGAAAAGTCAACACACCTGTTTAAATGCCAAGTTTTGTGATTTAAAAAAAGAAAAATAATCTTTTTTTCTTCCCTACCATTTTCTTCAGCTGCAACTGGGGCTTAGTTAAGGCAGTGCAAATTATTAATAGTTCTAAATACTTGTCAGTATTGGCACAAAAACCTTCAGGTTTCTGCCCAGAAGCAAAGGAAATGTCACGCAAATTCTACCAGAACAGCAGAACTTAATTGGGATTTAATCAGAGGCACTCTAGATGGTGTGTGCTAACAGCCATTTGACAAGATTGGGTGTGTTTCATCAATCCTTCATCTGAACACAGCAATATCCCCAATTATGCGGGTGTGCGCATTTGTACAATGACACAATCTCAACTGTAAATTTTTACTGACCCCTCTTAAGAGTTCTTATTTTCGGTTGCGTTGTACAGGCTATAGTTAACATCACGAGTGGAAACTGTTTTGAATAGCTTGGTCTTAATTTTATTGTATTTTTGGGGGGGGGGGGGGGTAGACTTTTTATATCCACCATAAATCATTGCGCACAAAAGGCGTCATACTGAATAAATTTAGGGTTTGTGTTTTGCAGGTGTTTGATGAGAGCAGTCCAATGAGGCCTTCCAACCCGTATTCTGCTTCAAAGGCAGCTGCAGAACTCCTGGTCAGGTTGTACTGGGAAAATTATAAGGTACCAAGAAGTTGCTTTCCTGTGAAGTAGAAATTGGACACAATGCATGAATTAGTTTGCTCTCTTCAGCTTCCCGTCATCATCACAAGGAGCAATAACATCTATGGTCCCCAGCAATACATTGAGAAGGTACAGAATCACTCAATAGCAGTAGTGAGCAAAATAAAATGAAAAATAAAAGTAAACAAAGCATAAAAAAATCTAAATGAAATAACTAATGAAAAATCCCAAACTATTATAACCTGGGTGGTGAGAAGAAAATAAGTACAAGAGTTAAATCAGTTCGACCTTGACACAAGTATCTCTATTGCTACTTCAGTACTGTGCTCAACAGTAAATGCTTATGTGTAATTCTAGTGTTGGATTGTAATAATTGACTGGTGTTCTTACCGTCACAGGTCATCCCCAAGTTTCTCACTTTGTTGCAAATGGGCAAAAAATGGTAGGCATTTTATTTTGAAAGGTCACACTGAGCAGCCTCCTGACTTTGTTCCGGTCTGCTCTCTGCCACAGTACCATTCATGGAACCCTCCCCAAATCTCGTCATTTCCTGTTCGTCGACGACGCAGTCAATGCCTTCCTGATGCTTCTGGAGAAAGGGATTGTGGGAGAAGTCTACAACATAGGGTCAAACTGTGAGATAACCATAGTGCAATTGGCCAAGGAACTTGCCAAGATGGTAGGTTGACGTGGACACCACACCTCTGTCATGCGAAATACACTACTGCCATTGGTGTGAATATGTTTAAGGTACAAAACGTGCCAGATGCCGAGCTGAACAACTGGCTTGAAGTTGTGCCGGACAGGTAAGGCCGGATTGACGCGTTATTCCACTCATTCACGTTATGAGTTATCAACATCTAAGCCAGTGATTCTCAATTCGTGGTTCGGGAATCAGTAGATTGACATTAAACTTGAACTCAAGGGTCGTATTAATCTTCCTTTAAGCCTGAAAAATTGTTTGCTATCTTCCAAACACATTTTCTTGATTGATTTGAACTTCGATTCAAATTGGATGGCAACTGAGCAAAAATGCGGATCTCAGTGTGACAGCAGTTGAGAACCGCTGATCTTGAGCATCCACGTCACATTGTGAACATTCAATAAGTCATGAAGTCACAGTGCAGTGCTCTGCAGGCCGGAAGTCGACATCCGCTACCCCATCAAATGTGAGAAGCTGCAGCAGTTGGGCTGGAAGGCCCAGGTCCCCTGGCCGGACGGCATCAAACGGACTGGTAAAACCGGCGCATACATACTGGCCATACACACAACTTCTGAGTTACAATATTAATGCCTGTCTCTGCCATGTGTTTATTTATTTTTTTTAGTCCAATGGTACCAGGACCACCCAGACTTTTGGTCGGACACACCATAGGCCCCGAGAGAAATTCAAAGAAACTAATCAATAGGTGCCTTGTTTTGGCACTCTCGCTGTCTTATCTGTACTGTCCATCTTATTGGACCAATAGGTGGTGGTGGGGGGCTCAGCCTCAGCCTCACTTGACCAAAACACTGTGAAGTAAACTTGAAATCACAAGTGACAAGAACAGGTGGTGTGATTTTGCCCTTACTTAACTTCCCGTTAGTATTTGTTTCCCAACCATCCATTGTCTTCTGCTAGCCGGGTTTGGGTCTCATCAGTTGTAGCAGGAAAAGTCCAGATTTCTCTCAGCCACTTTGTCCAGTTCGCTGAGGACCCCAGAGGTATTCACAGGTCAGCCGGGAGACGTCTCTCCCGCATGTTCTGGGTCGCCACCGGGGCCTCGTGCCTTTGGGATGTGCCTGGAACACCTCACCAGGGAGGTCTCCTGGAGGCATCCTGATCAGATGCCCGAGCCACATAATCTGGCTCTTGTCAATGTGGAGGAGCTGTGGCTCTACTCCCGAGGCTCTCCCTGGTGACTGAGCTTCTCAACTTATCTCTAAAGAAAAAGCCCAGACACCATGTGGAGAAAAAAAAAAAAAAACTATTTTCGGCCGCTTGTAGCCGTGTTGTTCGTTCAGTCACGACCGACAGTTTGGGGCCCATAGGTGAGGGCAGGAACGTAGATCACCCGGTAAATAGAGAGCGTCACCCTTCGGCTCAGCTCCTTCATCGTGACAGACCATTGCAGAGTTCCCGTCACTGGAGATGCAGCACTAACCTGCCTGCCGGAGCTGGAAGACATGCAATACAGACAGGATACTGGCCCTCCAGGACCAGAGTTGCCCACCCCTGCCCAAGACACTTTAACTCCTCCACTTGGGGCAGGATCTTGTCATTACTCAGTGAAAGCACTCCACATTTTTCTGACTGAGGACCATCAACTCAGATTTGGAAGTGGGTGCTTCTGTCAAGGGCATAAAGCACCTGACACTTTCGACACTCGGATCAGTGGGACACACAAACCCCTCCACCTTCGATAAGGTAACTGGTCAAGGAGGAGGGCATTTATTTGTTTGGTTTTTTTTGTACTTGTTTCCCCTAAAACAAATGAAGTATTTAGAGTGCTTTATAAAGTTCTGTTTAAAGAAACACTGTAGAGTTGCAATTTCTGGAAGAGTTGTGTGAATGCTGAAGAGCAGGGGGCAAAAAAAAAAAATTTACCCCCCCCAACCCCCATTTTCCAAGTATTATATATTTATCAGCATTCTGGGGGGGGGGGTATTCTTTTCTTTCGAGAAATGGTAAATCAGTGACTGTGCACTTTTGTTTTTAGACGACAACACTAAAGGGCAAGTTAAGAAAAATATTCTTTCCAAAAAGGTCTATGCCCTCCCCCCATTAGTCTAAAAAGGGCAATCTGAATCATCTTGCGTTTGTGGACTATGGAGTAATCAGAAAAATCCACGTTTGTATCCATCACAGGGGGCGGCCATTTTGCCACTTTGCTGTCAAATCCTCGTCCACATTTGGATTATATTATATCGCAATAGAACACAATCATCTGTGGGCCTTGCAAATCAATCAAAATCCAGTAAAACGGTTGGAGGTGGGGGCGATTGAGGGGTTTGCTTCAGTGAAAATTGGTGGGATTGAGTGAATTAATCTATATTCCAGAAACAATATTAATTAGAATGCCACGTTTACAGTCATGGGGCCACATCGAAGATATTGCAAAGAAAATGTTTGACTAGAGTTTAATTGCGCAACCACTTGATAGCTTTTCTCAAGCACGTAAACAGCCAAAAAGGAACAGAAGGTTAGTTTTGCAAATCCAAACCTTTAATTGTGGTAAAATCACAATGGATGCACACTACTGTTTTTCCTTAGTGTAGTGCTCCTCTTCATGCAGAACTGCTAAACTAATACATAAAGCAAACACTAACTAGCAGGCTTGTGGCGCCATGCGTCCACGCTCAACTCTGGCCAGTCAACATTGGAGACAACATCAGACTTCGTTGCATTCGGAGTATAACATTTTTGAAATCACCTAGTTAAATAAAACCAAAAAGTTTTTGTTGTCGCCAAGTCACCTCAGTCTGCGTGTTGTAGTGTAGGTATTTTTTTCTCTTCCCCAAATTGCCTTCTGCAAACAACTTGAGGGGCCATGAACTTACTACATTTGCAAAATTTGGAACATAAAAGGCTGGATATCTTTGATATGCCACCAATGGGGTAAATGAGCTGTGGGCCCCGTTACAATCTGGTGCAAAGAGGCAGAGGAGCTGTGACGGCAAACAAGAAAATCGAGGCATCATCCATCGATTGCCCATTTCCTGACTGGCTGGATGTTCAGCAGTGAGCGCATGAAAACGCCCAGCCTGAAACTTTGCAGATCACAACAACAACATAGTGATAGAACCACAGTTAATTTTCTGTGTTATAGACTGAACATCCCCACTTGATAGACAATCACACAAAGGGTATCAACAGGAAGGAAAAGTGTCAAAACAAATCAACACCCAAAAAAAAAAAAAAAAAAAACTGACTTGGAGCAAATCTGGACATGTTTGTACTGGGTGGGGGTTTTTTTTTGTTGCTTTTTTGTGGGGTTTTTTTTTACAAAACGGTTTTTTGATTCTTACAATTTAATCCAAACCTTGGCATATTCAGTGGAATTGTCTCAAATTATAATTTTTTGGGGCCAATTGAAAATGGCTGCTAATGTTGTATTATTATCATCATCATCATGGTTCGCATCGGAACCTGTTGTACAAACAGGTTGGTGTATCTGATACTGAGTCCAATGAGACTTTCAAGGTAATCGGTTTCTCGCCATATGTCACCTCGGCTGTAAGGCCAGTGATTGCTGATGCCGTTTGAGGTCTAATTGTATGGTAAAAGTGTGCCATTACAGCATGTGACATGACGTACTCCGAGAAACCTTATTACGCCGTTATTAAAAAGCTCACACTACCCCAGAAAAATAGAAATTTTCACTCATACCAATGACATTCAACATTCATGTGCCAGTGTTTTTGTTCACTGTCTTTTGGTCAAGTCACTTCTTTTTTTTTATTTCTTTATTTTTTAAACATTTGCACTAGGCTTATAAAAATAAATATTTCTCAAAAATGTTTGATAAATTACACAAACGAGCGAAAGTAGATTCAAGAACTTTGGGTGCAATCAGCTGGATCTTGCCGTTGTTCCGAACTACAACTCAAACGGGGTCCCCGCAAACAGAGCTTCACATCTGTAACATCCTTCCCTACACACACGCAAACACATACACACACATTTCTTATACCACGAAGGAGGAGTCCTTTTGGCAACTACAGACCCACCCTCGCATGGACCTCTTGCGAGGCGTTGGGAGGACCTGTGCTACAGAAGACATTTGTGTAACTTGGTAAAAACGTGTTCAGTCTTTCTACAAATGCAAGGCCTGCGGGCCGCAGCAAAGGGAGCATAGCACCATTAAATTGTTCCCCGACACAAACATCCTCGTCTCATGAATCTGTTCTCACAGAAGCGCTGAATTCTCTGCCACGGTGGTGCTATCGATTCAAAGAACTCCACGGTAACACAGCATCAAGTACAACTTATAATCACTTTTATTAGGACTATCTGTCTTGAATTTAAGGCATCAAAAGGTAAATGATTTGTGATGGAGGCTGTGTGTGACGTATCAATCTTCATCAACGGATGGAAACGACAGACCCAGAAAAAGCAGAAAAAAACCCCCAGCTAATGCTAGAAACTGTGCAAACAGCGCTTGGAGCTAAATGCTAAAACCAGAGGGCCAACCTGCTGGTCATAAACAATGTTAGGTGACTGGTTTTAGATATTTTTGAGAACCTGAAGTGATGTGGAAGGTACACGTGTGTGCAGGTGCGGGGCGACACCGAGCCCCCACACACGCTTCAGTCTGGAAGGAAGGATTTGAAGGCACAGAGCACGTCAGTGTTCATGACAGCAAAGTGCATTACGACCACAAAAGGATCTCTGTTGAATGAACTCTGGATGTTAATTGTGAGTGGGTGGGGTGTGTGGCACGGTGACTAACAGCCAACAGGCATGTTAAGGTGTCACCAAAACCTTTTTTTTTTCCTCAGGGGGCGTGACTGACGAAACGACAATGAAGTCCTGAACTGATTGTCAGATGCAAGCCTACAGTCTACTCGGTGTCAAGTGAGCAGCACTCACATGACAGCCCCTCAGGTCGAAACCTACTGCAGCTTAACCACAAAGACTTCAGCCCGTAAAAACAACATGCAGACAGAATCGGTCTGTCCTTGAGCACATCTCATCTCGCCACTAGAGAAGGGGAGAACCTCGTTTCATGGGATTCATTATGATGTGCATGAGCTCTCCCATTGCCCGGAAACTAAATGCTGCTTTTAGGGACTTTTTACTATATTGAATGTGACCTCCCAACAAACTACACAACACTAGCTCCCAGTGTAACACAGATCCCAAAAAAAAACAAAACAAAAAAAAAAACCCACACACACACACACACACACGCACACAAAAGGGGGTAAAAAGAAAGACAAATCAGCATCAACTAAAAACCTGCTAAACTTGTTTTTGCATGTCTAAATTGCTTGACCAAAAAAAAACAACAACACTTGCATATGTCCGAGTCCATTTTTTTGCTGCATGGGCAATTTTGCGAGAAAATCTATTGGAATCAAATTGTCCAGTGAACTCCTCTCTCTCAGGACAACGTCCATCCCAGTACTGAGTTAACAAGCAAATTTCCACGCAAACAATTTTCAACTATTTACAGGTTATCTACATGTGAATTCCTTTAAGATCTCCATGTAAATAAAACAAATTTGCACCTTGACTTTTACCGCTACACTCCCAAACGCAAGGTGGTGGAGTTTTCGTAAACACGGTCTGGTTCCACAGCAGGGCCGAGTGCAAATGTGGCAAGTCCTCGTTTTACTGTGTTCTGAGGTCTAGCGGGGCAAGTCGCCATGTGGCTCATTATCATGATCGCCATTATCACAGTGCAGTTTGGAAAAAGAGACTGGGCCCCATATCTCAAACCTTGAAAAGGAAACAATCGCTTTCCTCATGTTTGTCTTATTACTCCCCTCCAAGCCTCTGCTGCCCTGCTGGGAAACACTTGGGCCCGATGTATGCATTCATCCCCGACTGCAACTAATCCCAAAACACTCAAAGCAATACTGGAATGATGTTTTTTTTTTTTTTCTTTTTCTTTTTAAAGAGAAAACTCTTTATGTGACTCTCCAGGATAGAGTGAGCAGGGAATTTTGGATCTCTGAGTCTTTTTAGTTGGGTTTCCCCTTGAAAGATGCTTTCGGCCAAAAAGGGCTTCAAAGTTTGTGGGTGGAGGCAGAGTCAGGTTCCCGGGAGCATAGGGATGCCAAGAGTTGGCACAACAGACATGGGCACTGATGGTTGGAATTTATTGTCCTTACCGAGGCAGCAAGGTCGGTCTGCATTTGATTGAAGAGGGGTGAGGAGGAAGGAAAAATAAAACCCATCCTTTGAGTTTGCCGCACTGCTTAGTCCGTCAGCAGCCCAGTTACTGAAATACCAACTTTTGGCAACTATGCGAGGAACTTCTTGACTTCAAGCTCAAAGTAGAGCTGCAGGACTGACATGTGATTTCTAGAAGCACAAAGCCTACCACGAGAGGTTTGATGCTTTTAAGAACCGTATCAGATCATGAGGAACCGCGTTTGAGTTTCCTCATGGCAGTTTTACCAAGTTCAGTTTAGTTTTGTTTTGCCAAGGTTTGATTTAGTTCAAGTCTAGCTTGTTTCCTTCCAAAGAGAAATCAAGATAACAAACCAATACATGACATAAAGTATGTTTCTCACAGAACAGAACTAAGAAAAGCCAATGCTCGAATTCTGAAAGGCACAGTACAGAAACAAATGATCTTACCTTGTTATTTTTGCCAAGTAAAGCAAAAGTCCTATGATTCTGTTAGCTGACATTTCAAGTGATGGGCAACAATGCTTGCTAGCAATCCAAATTCCATCCCATTATTTTCTGGGTCTCCTCAGACATCTTTCCAAGACCTGTGCACATCTGCACTTCAATTAAAAGAAAAGGTTAAAACAAAAAACTAAGAGCAAGATTTGTGGCCTCTCTTACCAGCGGAGGCCTCAGCCAGTTCCGATGTTGGAATTTGTTTCATGTCTCAGTGCTGTTTTTTTTTTCTTCCCTCATACGCCGGACATGCATTAAACACAAAGACGACACGTGGGTGCGGAGAGACTCACTGGAAGCCTTTGCGATTGAGTGAAGGCAGTAAAAAACATGGAGCCAAAATTCAAATATGAAAAGTGCCACAAAGAAAGCGTCCCGCGGCAGGAATCTAGTAAAATAACCAAATGGAAGAATCGCTTTTCCGTGTGTTGTGAGATTTTAAATTTAGATTACACTGTCCAGGGATGTCGTGGGGGTGCTGTATTATGAGTATATTTATAATCGCATGCACATAGGTTCTAAATGTTGACTAGGGCGGCAGATGGGGTGAAGACAGCAGAGTTGAGAAAGGAAAAGAGCTGAGTGGGGAGGGGACAAAATATGTGGATGAGAGAGAGAGAGAGAGAGAGAGAGAGAGAGAGAGAGAGAGAGAACTAAGAGTCTAGTTGCCCCACCAGTCGACTTGAGAATGTGAGTAGTTGCCGCCGTAGCCGTCGCTTGTGTAGAAGGTTCCAAAGCCACCTGCGGGCAAAGACAGAGGCAATGTTGGCGCTTTCCTAGCGTACTCTTGTACAACTAAAACTGCCACCAAAATCACAGCCGCACCTGCTGCAAAGCCACGGGCTCCTCCATGTCCCACTTGGTTCCGAACACCGCGCGCTCCAAAGCCTCCGGCGTTGCCTCCGGCGGCCGTCTGACGATAGTCACGCGCTCCAAAACCACCAGCGAACCTTCAAACGCAATCCAAACAAGGAAACGTTGACCACAGCATGAATGGATTTTTTTTTTGGACTGCATGCAAGTCTTCACCAAATCATAATCAATCCGAGGAAAGACTCTGTGTGTTTATGGACCTCTTAGAGCGTCCGCGGTTGCTGCTCTTATGCTGGTGCTCATAAGCCAGGCTCTCGAGCCATGAAGGAACTTCCTGTTTGGCTTCCACCAGGATGTCCAGTAGGTCTTTCGTGATGTTCCCATTCTTGTCGTTGAAGAACGAGGTGGCCAGTCCTGAAGGAAAACAGGCCTTATTGATATCGTTGAGGCTGTGATCATCTGATCAAAGCAGAGATTCTCAAGTGGGTTTCAGACTCTGAATGGGTGGGTTGCAAAGAGGTAGTCCAAAAAAAATTACACGGGTTCCCAATGGTACTGACATGCAATGATGTTTCAAGGTTATGAATGGCGCGGGACGAGGCATAAGGCACCCTCAGTTTACTTGATGTATTTCATTGGCTTCTTTTACACTTGGCAAGTGTTTTGCATACAAATAGCTTATGTAATTAAGATAGTGTAGTTTAGTGATAGACTTGCATATATAAGCCCCATAAAGAAAGAAAGAAAGAAAGAAAGAAAGAAAGAAAGAAAGAAAGAAATAAGAGGACCGCCTGACCAGGGAATTATCCCAGGTTGGACTTGACTTTAATTTGATCAAATAATATTTAGACTTTTCTAAGAGCAAGAGATCAGAGCTTAGATGATGGTAGCTTTTTTAAAAACTTTTTTCTTCATTTTTGTACAAGAAGTTATGTTCATTTCTTAATAAGACGTTCTGAAAAGCACTTTGAACATGTAAGCATGTGTTGCGTTGATAAATATGATGAACTTATTTCTGAACAATTCATGTTCTTCATTGCTCTTCTGTAAAAGTGGGTCGCGGCTTGGCGAAAATAGCAAAATGCAGTTCCCAAGGTGACGACAGTTGAGAACCAGTGGTTTAAAGCATGAGTATGCTCACTATTTACCCCCTAGTGACACAAGCAATAATCTTACCCAGGTTTCCTACTCGTCCTGTGCGTCCAATGCGGTGAACATACTCTTCAATGTCACTTGGCAGGTCGAAGTTAATAACATGTTTCACATTGGAGATGTCAAGACCACGAGCTGCAACCTGAGTGGCAGCAACGGAAGCTTCTAAAACATATGCATGCTGTGCTCCATTTTGCTACATTCAAATTTTACTGACAGCAGTAGCCACCAGGATGGGGCACTTTCCAGATCGAAACTGGTTCAGGGCCTCCTCTCGGTCCCTCTGGGAACGATCGCCGTGGATGCTGGTGCAGGCGTAACCTTCCCGGTACAGGAAGTCCTCCAAGGCGTCTGCGCCTTTTTTGGTCTCCACAAAAACCAGAGTCAGTGAGTCCTTGCCTAATCGACCAAAAGAAAAGAAACAACTGAAAATTAATTGCGATATTTCACTTGCAACAACCTTCACATCACAAGTGAGGATCGTGTTTCAACAACATTCTTTTAGCGAGCTCGCTTTGTTCAACTATTATGGCTGCTCATGTTGGTGACGACAAATGACAAACATGCATTGCAGGACGTATGGATAAACACAAGCAGAAATACATCAAAATAAGTGCAATAATAGGTATGACCACTGATAAAAAGCAACATGTCGAACTGATGACTTTTGTCATAGTAACTGTTGGCATGTTCGACTCATGCCAGGATGCACGGAACCGATGACAAACCAAACTAAAATGAGTATCGCAGGCAGGTAGGCAAAGTTGACGTTGCAAAAAATAATAATAATAAAGGATAAGCGTTGTGGATACGGGTTTCTCTTGTATAGAGCTTACCAGGCTTCTCCATGTTCTCTCCAGCATTGTCCTGCACTTCGCTGGGGATGACTTGGGATAAAACCACACCAAACCATCAACACCAACTAATGCTCTTGGCCCTCGCACCAGTTCAGCAACCACGTTGTGTGCCTTATTTTTTCTTTCCAGGCGCGGGTGTTTGCGTGTACCGTTACGGCCGGGACAGGAGACCGATCACGCGTTCCGACCGTCTCACCTGTGGCACTGAGCAGGTCCAGGAGAAAAGACCTCTTGTCGCTCTCTTCCACCCAAACCACCTTCTGAGTGATGTTCTCTGAGGTGGAGCCCACTCGTCCCACTGCCAGGAAGATGTAGTCATCCAGGAAATCCCTGGCCAGGATCTGCAAAGGGGCAAGCAGGAGTTACAGGTTTTGCCCCACAGTGAGATTAGGAACATGCAAGTTGCACGTGGAACAGAGGTTCACGGCGCATTCACGGAGCACACACCTGTATTTCTTTGGGAAAGGTGGCGCTGAACATCATGGTCTGCCGGTTGCCTTTCGGAGGCATGGTGTCCTGTTCAACGATGCGCCGTATCTGAGGCTCAAAGCCCATGTCCAGCATGCGATCCGCTTCATCCAGGACAAGGTACCTATCGCAAAAAACACATGTCGAGCTGTTGACTAAAAAAAATACACAGTCAAAGACAAACAACTCAAGTTACGCCACTCGACTTCCTTTAAATTTGTTTTAAGATGCCTAACGTTTTGCTATGACTGTCTTTTCATTTTATCTCTCGCCACTGATGGATGTTTATTGTCTGACATCTGTGCAGGCAGCATCGGTGACAAAAGGAGTATGAATATCTGTCTGTCACTACATACGTGCGGACTGTGACTGACTGGGAACCACTCAAGAGTGAAGTCTGCCTCGAGCCCAAAGTCAGATGGGGTCGGTTCCGTTTTTTAATATTTTAACAACTGTTAATGATCATTTTGTATAGTATGAAACTTCTTTGTAGTGAGTTGTCAAATTATTTCGAAAAGGAAATATCGTAATGTTTATCACGTCTGTGGCATTTGTAAGATCTTTGGATGAAGCAAGATTAAATTGAAGTTATAAGGATAATTAAGGCATTAGTTTTGGAAAATAAAATGCAATACTTTTTAAGGATCTGCATACACATTTGATCGAGGAATTTGGGAACAAAAAAGCCATTGTGTGATTGACTTCTTAGTCAACAATTCTGGTCAAAACATGTTTACTTGTTTGTTTTATATAGCACATCGGGTTTTCATAATATTAATATAGTAACAATAATTAATATTGCAATGTATTTTGGAATAGATTAGGGCTAGGCTCAGCAACAGGTGTTTTTTTTTCTAAAATGGCATAGCTATAAATTAGAACGCATAGTGCAAGCTTTTACAGATCAAACTAAAAACAAAAAATGACAATCTCTTAAAAACATTTTTGGGGCACATAATGCCATCTCCAATTAAAATTTGCTGTTGACCACTTTAATTGTTGGCCATAGTGGGTACGTTGGAGTAGAACTTGGCAGGAATTCGTGTTTACGCAGGAGATTGATAAAAAAAAAATTTAAAAAAAGTATTTTTTTTTGTTTGTGTGTGGCGTTTTTTTGCCTTTAGAAATGCATATAGAACACTAACAGCAATCTTCTCCACCAAATGCCTATAACAAAAACACAGGTAAAATACCACGAAAATTCCCACCATGCAGAATTTGCTGTTTTGGTGGGCGTACAACGAGCACAGGTGCAAGAGTCACCTGGCTGTCCTCTCGGCAAGCACAGTAAGTGAAAGGGTTTTTTTTTTCTTTGGCTGGACACCACAGTGGGCAAACCTTTCTTCAGCCCATGTCCATGTTTTTGTGTTCTAACTTGCATGTTCTGCGTAAATTCAGTAAGCGCAGTCCATTTTCAGTGAATATAGATTTTCATCACTACTGAATAAAATCAATGGCGTCGTCAGCGTCAAGTTAACATCGGCTAAACTTTCAACGTGTTACTGCCACCTGAAAATCTGAAGTAATGCATCCCCTACCAGCTTACCACCAAACATCAATGATAAGCTCGCTGGTAGAGCTCTACTCCACATAATGATCTTACTTGCAGTAGTCTAGTCCAATCTTGCCCCTCTCCATCATGTCCACGAGTCTTCCCGGGGTAGCCACCAGTAGGTGACATCCTCTCTCGAGATCTCGGATCTGCTGGCCAATATCTGCTCCGCCATACACGACACAGGGGCGGACTCTGGATCGGTATGAAAACTAAAACACAATAATAATAAAATGTTATTTGTAAATGCCTTTCAAGGCGGTCAAGGACACCGTACATAAACAAGAGTAAAAAAATAATTTTGCATAAGAAACTAAACAAAAATATAGCTCAATGTAAATTAAGAATAGGCGAAGCCGTTTGAAGAAACGGAGGTCTGGGGACAATGAGTTCAACAGCATCTCAAGGCTCTACTACCCAGGGGTCTAAAGGCACATTCAGAAATACGTTCCAAGCGTGCACTGGTTCACTACGACCGTTCGGAACCTCAGAGTCGTTCAATTTATTCAGAATGCACCAAAGAGTGCACCAGTGCAAATTAATTGGAAATTGTTGGAAACTAATTACGAGTGGAGCGCACTGCCTCCGACTACGTTACTCTTCAGAGTGAATTTCCGAACAAGCCCAAAGACAGGCAGGCAATTTACAGAAAACGGCGTCGAGGAGAATGAGGTAGATGATGATAAGCAGGGGCCCCAGGACAGACCCCTGGGGCCCACCTGAAGTGGCTGGGTAGGAATCCGACAAAAAGCAGTGCAGTTGGATGAATTAAACACAAGAAAAAAACCTACCTTCCTGGCTTCATCATATATCTGTAGAGCTAGCTCTCGAGTAGGGGCAAGGACCAGCGAAATGGGGTACTGCTTGCGACGGCCATATTTTCCATTCTCCTACAATCGTGGAATAATTACCACATGATAATCAATGAGCAGCAGTTTATTGATGGAAGATTAATATCAGTGTAAAAAAGAAAAAAAAAACATAACAGATATAACAGCAGATAAAGTGACAAGAAATAACCACTAGGGCAATAAGAAAAGCATAATGTGCATCACCACCTTGGACAATGATGCATAAATTATAACGTATATACTGTAAGCCCTCGAAGTGGCAGTTTGCTTATAAGCTATCAAGCAATTGTCACATTTGGATCCACTGCAATCAAGATTGTAATGCCAATACACTCCCTTCCAAAAGTATAGAAACGGTTCGGCCAATTGTGTTATTTTTGATACAAACTGAAAACATTTGTGCAGGGCTGTCACGATAATTATTACATCAACAAATATCGAAAAAATGGACACGGTAGTTTTTTGTACTTGATAAATGGTCGTTTGCATTTGTGTTTATCCGCATCATAATTCACTCGCACTGCACCTTCCCTCTGCATTCTCACCTTGTTTGCTACAGTGAGAGTCGACACTGGGAGTACCTACCTGCCCAGAGGCTTTCGCTGCATTCAGAGCATCTCCTGGTCCCTCGGCGTAGATTTGGCTGAGAACTGGCAGCAGGAATGCCGCTGTCTTCCCAGAACCTGTGCACAGAACATGGCAAAATCTGCAGCTTGGTCCTGATTCTGCATATTAAGACACAGAAGTCTCAGACAGTATGTCATACCTGTCTGTGCGCAGGCCATGAGGTCTCGCTTGGACTTGACGATTGGAATGGCATATTTCTGGACAGGGGTTGGTCGGGTGTAGCGGCTCAGCGCAATGTTGCCCATGATAATCTCACCCATGTCTATGTCCTGGAACTACACACCAGGATAGCAATTTGAATTGGTCACACTTGAAAACAAAACATCAGGTGTAAAAAAAAAAAAAAAACATTCCATTCCATTCTGACTTACACTCTCGATGTGATGAGGGCAATTCTGTCCAGTGGCCTCAACAGGAATGTCATCATATTTCTCAAAATTAATCCCAGTGTTGCTGCCGGAGAACAACTCACTAGAAGGTAGAATGAGGAACAGTTTAACACTACATGTACATGTTGTACAAGCATGATATTTAATGCTTTCATGCTTGACCAGCCTTTGGAGAATGAGGTACACATGCACAATTGTTTAAAAAAATGTGGATTTCAAAAGTTAGTTAGCAGGCTACTCCCTAAATCCACGTAGGATGATGTAAGACAGGGGTGCCCAACCAGTCGATCATGATCGACCAGTAGCCCGTGGACTGGTCGCAAGTTGCTCGCGAGGGCCACAGTAGGAAATGGAAAAAAAATTGTGTTATTAACATTATATATTTTTGTGTAAGTCTACACAGCACCCTAAGCATCCTATCAGTTTCATTTTCACCAAAAAGTATGCAAAAAATAAAAAAGCACTTCACCGGAATTCGTTAGTGGTCAGTAGTCTGCAATTGCAGCGTGCAATCGAGCTATTGCGATCTCAGGTTTTTTTTTTTCTTAACCTCATTCAAAGTTTGTTTCATCTGCAATTCACCAATGGCATTGGTGGAGAATGGCAATCTGGAGCACTAGGAGAAGCATTTTAAAACAGTACATGTAAGTTTCTGCACTTAACATGCTGCGAAAGTGCATCCCATTACTCCGTGTCAGGTCTCGACTAAGGTAGGCAATGATTTCCTTTTCACTCTTGTTAAAAGAAAGATTTTTCTGTTTCTTTGATATTAGAGGCCATTATGGCTGCTGCTCATCATGGCATGCGTGTGTGTGCGTGTATGCGCAAATGCGTTAGTATGTGCCGCGCGTGTGTGTATGCATGTGCAGTAATGGTCAATCGGGGGAGGTTGGTTGCTTGAAAAGTAGCTCTCGGGTCAAAAAGCTTGGGCACCCCTGATAGAATGAGGTACACATGCACAATTGTTTAAAAAAATGTGGATTTCAAAAGTTAGTTAGCAGGCTACTCCCTAAATCCACGTAGGATGATGTAAGACAGGGGTGCCCAACCAGTCGATCATGATCGACCAGTAGCCCGTGGACTGGTCGCAAGTTGCTCGCGAGGGCCACAGTAGGAAATGGAAAAAAAATTGTGTTATTAACATTATATATTTTTGTGTAAGTCTACACAGCACCCTAAGCATCCTATCAGTTTCATTTTCACCAAAAAGTATGCAAAAAATAAAAAAGCACTTCACCGGAATTCGTTAGTGGTCAGTAGTCTGCAATTGCAGCGTGCAATCGAGCTATTGCGATCTCAGGTTTTTTTTTTTCTTAACCTCATTCAAAGTTTGTTTCATCTGCAATTCACCAATGGCATTGGTGGAGAATGGCAATCTGGAGCACTAGGAGAAGCATTTTAAAACAGTACATGTAAGTTTCTGCACTTAACATGCTGCGAAAGTGCATCCCATTACTCCGTGTCAGGTCTCGACTAAGGTAGGCAATGATTTCCTTTTCACTCTTGTTAAAAGAAAGATTTTTCTGTTTCTTTGATATTAGAGGCCATTATGGCTGCTGCTCATCATGGCATGCGTGTGTGTGCGTGTATGCGCAAATGCGTTAGTATGTGCCGCGCGTGTGTGTATGCATGTGCAGTAATGGTCAATCGGGGGAGGTTGGTTGCTTGAAAAGTAGCTCTCGGGTCAAAAAGCTTGGGCACCCCTGATGCAAGACATTACCAAGAGACAGGATTTTTCATGCTCATGACAGTGACAAATTTCACAAAATTATACAGCTGTTGTATTGGATATGACGAGACTGTGCAAGCACATATGGCGTTTCTCCTTACGAGGCCCGTCAACGTCCAACTTACTGTTCAAGTCGCTCATTGAGGGGTGTTGGTTTGGACCAGTCTCCATCAGTGCAGGCCTCTTCCACCCAGCGGCTGTTTCCGCCGCCGCTATACCCACCATGGTCAAACCTAAGCCAAAAAAGAACAATAATGTCGAACAAATGTGCATCTGCAACCTTAAGCATGTTATAATAGAATTTCAACTACAGTAGTAATCTTGATTTATCGGTTTAATTTGTTCCATGACCAAGCTTGTCACTCCATATACTTGTGTAGCAACTACATTTTCCACAATGAAATGAATTGAAATGTTATTCATCCATTCCAGTCTCACAAATAACACCTATTTTAAAGAAATGAAAAATAGCATTGTAGAAAAACATGATATCCAGAAATAAACTGGTGTAATTACTGTACATACTGCAGTATTTGTGTGTTGCATGTGTGCCTTTTAGGGGTGTGGCCTGGTGAGTGAAGCTTAAGAGCTAGAATCTGAGTTGTTACTGGTGAGTGGGCTCATTTTGCATATGTGACTGTTGCCCTGTTCAACAAACAGTTGAAAATTGCATTAGTGATTGTAGTTCTCCTTGCCCACATGTGAGGGCATCATTTTTCACTTTGCTCAAGGGCTGGCATATCCGAATCTTACTTGCATCTCAAACTTTGTCTTCCAACACAAAGCGGGGGAAAGAAAAAAAAAAAACCCGAATCAACCAAGCATCGGCTAGCAAAAAAAACAAAAACGAAACAAAAACCTAAGTTTGGGCACTGTCAGTAAGCCTGCACTGTACCTGTCCACATTATGTTGTGACTGTCATCAAGCTTGGCCATAAATGGAAAGGGAAGAACTTTACTATCATCTCACCGTCCACGATTTGCATTGCTTCTGTCATTAAAGAAAGCAGATTTTCCTCGATTGTTTCCGAAGCTGCTGTAGGCATCCTTGGCAGTGTTCCAACCGCCAGCGTCTGACAAGGTCATAGAACACACGAAGAAAAAGGCCTCAAGTTTCCTCAACCAAGAAGATCAATGTTCACACGCAGTCAAATAGGATCGGCACCTTTGCTTTCATACAACCCGAAGCCCATTGACTGAGCAGGGTTGATGGGATTGAAGGATCCACCTCTGTTGCCACGATAGCCGCCTCCGCCCATGCCCCCTCGGCCCCGTTCCATGCGAGGCGGGCCACGATTGTAAGTGTTCCCGCCAGTCATACGGTTGTCATGGTAGCCATTGACAAAGTTGCCGCGGGCCCCATCCCAGCCAACTGCAGACAGAAAGAGAGTACAGTAACTCAATAATTGATGATGAGCGATTTCAAGTTGAAAGGAAAGGCATCTTACAGGCGGCGGCAGGTGCGATGGTGTAGCCTGCCCTGGCAGCAAACACATTTCCTCCTACGATAAGAAGAAAATATTTCACCAGTGGTTTCGCCTGTTATAAATGCGACTATAATACAAAAGTGAAATGTGGCCAGTTTGTCGAGATAGAAGTAGGGCTGAACGATTTTAGGAGAAGAATGAATTGTGATTTTTCTGACAGAAATTGCGATTTGGATTCGATTCACGGCGGCTGCAGTGCAACATTCACTATGTAGAGCAGTGCTTCTCAAATAGCGAGGCGCGCCGTCAAGGGGGGGTACATTTGAACTCGGGATCATGCTTTTTTATTTTGATTTTTTTTACTGTCCTAGAATAAAGTGCAATTGCACCTCCACTACATTAGGGGGCAGTGACGCTCTAATTGGCAGAGTGCGCGCAGGGAGCATTCGTTCGGTGTTTTGTTTGCACTGAGCATGCGCGCTTTGCACACAGCACAGAGTATGAGTATGAAGTGCAGACACGAAGTCAACAGGCGGAGAGAGACGGAGAAAAGAGAAGGTCTCCCGAAAGCTAAAACGAGGAAATATGACGAAGCGCCTGTCGCGCTTGGCTTCACTGTGACTACGGTGGTAGACGAGGAAAGACCGGTATACCTACTGTGTCTAAAAATTTTGGCAGCGGACAGCATGGAGCCAAATAAATTAAGGCGTCACTTAAAGACATTACACCCCAATCACGCTGATGAGCGGCTTGACTTTTTTTCAGCGAAAACGTGCCGAATATTGCCAACAATCATACCACTTTGTGACTGCTACTTGTAGCCATTAATCCAGACATCTTTGATTTAAAAAAAAAAAAAAAAAAAAAAAATCAGCACAAATTATTTTAGATATTTTTGTTTTGCAGGTTTTCATATTGTGCTCCTGAATTAATGTTGGTGATCAGTTTGAATGCATTATTATTTATTGATTGAATGTAATTTTATTTTTCAGTATTATATGGTTTGATATGGTCAGTCAAAAAATGTTTATCGTTTAAATAAGGATTTAATTTTATTTTTGAATTTCAGATGCACTTAAAATCTTTTCTGTTACAGTTACTAAAGCTATTCTTTGTTGTAAGTTGGTCCACATTTCTTTCTTTTTTATTCTCTTATACGTTAAGGATACAGTGTTATGCAAATGTGTACTTATAACAATTTTATAGACAAATGATACTATTTATAGTCGCGCAGGGGAGGGACGCGAGATGTTTTCTTCTTCCTGGGGGGGTGGGGGGGGCATGACAGAAAATAATTGAGAAGCACTGATGTAGAGTAACATTTACAAGCAGGACAGAAAATGACTGTATACCATCAAAACATTAAAAGCTATCACTCGAATAAAGCACACACCATAGAGCAGGGGTCTCAAACTCAGTTCCTGGAGGGCCGCTGTCCTGCATGTTTTCCAAGTCTCGCTGTTGCAACACAGCTGATTCAAATGATCAGATCATCAGCAAGCTCTGCGGAAGCCTGACATTGAACCTGTTCATTTGAATCAGGTGTGTTGCAACAGGGAGACTTGGAAAACATGCAGGACAGCGGCCCTCCAGGAACTACGTTTGAGACCCCTGCCATTGAGAGTCTGTGTGAGGGAGGCAGTCCTTTTTCAAGGTTTTTGCAAGGATCCAATAAAGAAAGACCTACTGCTTGCTGTCATATGTGAATATAGAATAATTGTAAAAATACATTTTTAACCAAAAATGGTTTCAATTTTGTATTTATGAATGTGATCTTAACACATAAGTGTAACATTGTAGATTAATACTTTTTTTCCTTTTTTTTGTTAAAGACTCAACTGCTTCACACAGTGACTGATGGCTTAGTGACACGGCCTGAAATTCATATCAGGGTAATGATGAGAGCAAAAGTGTAAAAATCAGTTTGAAGTATGTCTAAATGGGACAGTTAAAAATATTTCCTGTTGAAACGGTCAAAAAGTATCATATTTATTCCTCATCGTTGCTTCTTTTCCTTCACATTCTCATGTAACCATGTTTTTTTTTTCTTTTATGCAATGAAATCAATGTAACAAAACCGTCCTTTAGCAAACCTAAATTGATTAAACTGATACTGTAGACTAATTTTGACACTTAATTGCATCGATCTCAAAACTTAGAATTCGTTGGTGCAAAACAGTGCACATAAGCACAAATAACATTGCTGATAGCATCAATATTTAAGATACTTTTGATATCGAGCTCCTCATGACTGACATCAGCCATAACCTTTTCATTTCCGGTTTTCGAGTGTGTGCTCTGTAGCTGTTGTCTTATGACATCTCCAGATAGTTATTAGTTGTAATACACGGAGGCGAAAATTTGTAGAGAGGTGGATCCGCACCTTGCGGCTCCCACAGACGTCGTACAGAGCAAGACAGCTTAGCACCTAGTATTTGTGAGCAGCCAGGTAAGCAAAAGGACTTCCAGGAGGATGGGTGACAGCCTGATGTAGACGCGACACAGCTCAGAGTTGAGTGGTCTGTGGGAATTGTTCGTCAATAGCATGCCAGTTCTGATTGGTGAGCTTAGGATAAGAGTGCTTTAAAAAAATATCACAAAATTGCACTGTCTGAGACCACAGTTTTGCTCCCAAATGAATGAATCGTTCAGCCCCGGATAGCAGTGAAGTGAATGCAGCAAGACAGCTTTTCAAGACATAGCATTCAGAGTCTTGGGACCTCGAGGGTGCATAGGAAGTATTTTGTTGGAAGAAGCACTTAATAGCTGCTCCTCACCATTTTTAGGACCATCTTTGTTCCGTAAATGTGGAGGAATGTATCTTCCTGCAGACACGAGAGAGACATCAGCCTCATTCTAATAATCAGCAAATAGGGCAGGCACATTCAATGAAAACCTAAAAACATCCTCAATGCAACAAATTGTGGTGGCGATCTGCAATATTCACAGCGCCACATTATGGCCCCATGCAGCTGCCTCTATATCTCCAAGGCAAGGCAACCCTTGCTTTATCAGCAGGGTGTGTGATTAAACATAAGAACATAGGAAGCGCTTACTGTTGGTGCCACCACCTTGTCCGTCTGCCACATTCAAGTCTAGGACAGCAAGCTGGGAATGGAAACACATAGACAAGTTTTCGTAAAGATTTACTCATTATCAACTCATTACCTTGTTGGCAATAGTCAGTTCGTCAGACTTGATATTGATATGATTATAGGCACACACACACACACACACACACACACACACACACACACACACCATACAGTGTCAGACATAACAATCAAATGCTCTTCCACACGTCATTTCAGTTGGTATACTATATACTTTTTGTGACAATTTGGCTGTGGCTCGGTAACTGTTGAAAATACACATCGAAATCACATTGCAGTGAAGCGGCAGAAACCTGCCTCGACCAAATCAAAATGGAAATGAATTCAATAGCAAGAACGCCGTTACTCTATCCTTACAATTTTACAATGTCAAAAGGAATGGTGTTAAAACGGTCATTATGAAAAATTAAATCAGGAATGGCCCAAGACTTGTGCACTGAACTGTACCGTGCCATTTGCCGTCCAGTGCGTGGGTTTAAATTCCGCATTAAATCATTTTACAAATCATCATGCATTGCAACCAAGAGAAAATATCATAATAATTTTTGTTAGCTAAATTTTGACTGCAATTTTGCGCACTATTTTAATTCACTGGGCAATATGAGTACTTTCTTTTCTTGATTTGGCTGGTAGCACAGTGACAGTCAGATGCTTTTCCCTACATCGCTAGTGACGCAGAATATTTTCGCAACGTATGCGCGTACAAAAAGCTTGTAAGATTTGACAGCAAGGTGTGTCGCGCTGTCAAATGCAGATATGAGCACGCCAGCTTCACAGGCTCGAAACTTGAGCGCACCTCCATTTCATTTTGTGTCGAGGCGCAAGACAAACGCAGCGAAGATAATAGTGGATCGATGCGTTTCATATGCTCACCGGAACGCGCCGATGGAGGCCAGCGTTATTTGGCAATCACTTTTCTGCACTAAGAAACATTTTATGAGCCCAATGACGCTTTACGAAAATACGTGTTTAGGTAAAAGTATGTGTGGGTATGTTAAATATAAAAGCTACGTCAATTAATGTTGCGAGAAATACGTATCACAGGTTGATCATTCGTCACTTGTCGTCAGGCAAATCCTTGACTGAAGCGCACCCAATGCTAGTAAGATAGCATCTCGCTAGCGGTTGTTAGCCGGTAAGCTAACATCATTCTAAGACTTTTTTTGCCTCCGCATGACGCCACAAGCAACAGCAAACGAGTTGCTTACCTGTTGTTCTAGACCATGGACATTCTCCACGGACACATGACTCATCACTAGGGAATATGGAGGAAAAATGTTGACGTTGAGAAAAAGACCTCTTTGTTAGCCGGGGTTCGATGTACTGTTATCGCCCCTTTGTCGCGTGCCTCGCCGCGACAAAAGAGATATTTGGCAGGTTTGCACGAATAGCCTTCACTTTGCAGAACGCACGCCGAAGTTTGCTTCAAATTCCACTACGTTTGGTCACCAAGGTGCTACTTGATGCAAACCCAGCTGATGTCGATTTGTTCTACAGCTGGGAATGAAGATGTGTTAAGAAAGCACGCGTGAAACAAATGGAAGAAAAAACATCCGGTGATGGTGGAAAATAAAAGTAAAATAAAAGTATGGTACAACGTTTCAAAAACCAGGGAAGGTGAGCACAAAATAATAACCAATTTTATAAATTGTATTTAATTCTAGGGGTTGAAAATATGTTGATGTTTAGCGAATAGATAAAATTACCCGGATATCTACCGGTTCCTCTTATGATACTGAATATTTAGTTCACGACAGGGGCGTCACTAGGCTTCAAGAACAAGGGGCGCTTAGCCCCAAGGGGAACACAGCCCCTTTAGGGTGGTCCGGGGGCATGCACCCCCGGGAGAATTTTTTTCTACATTCTGTTAAAAATCCATCAATTCCGTGCACTTTGAGAGCAAAATGAAGAGGCTATGAAGAACTACACACATCACATTAGTATCCTCTTTACTATGATGGGGCTTCCTCCCCTGGACTTTAACGGGACTAGATAATAGAAATTATAAAGAGTTCAAAAGTTCAATCTTGGTTGTTCAAGGGAATTAGAAGGATGCCCGATAACATAACCTATATGACAGTAGGCCTATATTCCTCTCTACCAAAATGTATTAATATATGCTTAGCCCCCAGAAGACTATGTATTTTGAGATGTCTGCCGTGATATGCAATTTAAG